CTAAAAAAAAATAACATCTTTTCTTCCCCCATTAGAATCTGGTATCTAAATGAGTTGGGGCACAATATACCCTCAATTCAAAAAACATTACCTTATGCAAAATAATGCTTTGTAGAGCAACAAAGGGCTACTTTTGATTAGCAAAGACCTTTGGTCTATAACATGCCCCACTAACCAAATAATAAAAGTGGTCTTGCCTTGCACCATCTCCTAATAGGGTGTTCCCAACAAAATAGTGTCCACACCTTATTACCTAACTCCTTCAAATATACCCAATATCTAAAGTTTATCTTCTAGTGTTTTCAGGATCATCCCTTTCTTTGTTACTTTTTATGGGTTCTTCTATCTCACCAATATCCTTTAAGGCAGAGATGTCAAAAGTGATGCCTGCTGGCCAAATCTCCCAAGTGTGCCAGAACCAGAATAAAATGTAATTGGGAAATATTTAACAAGATAAATAAAAATGCAATATATCATATATAATGCTGATATGTGGTTTTCTAAGTCAATATGTGGCCCGCAGGGATCCTTATATACTGTTTAGTTTAGTGCTTCTCCTTTGCCCCCTTTCTGTTTGAGTTTGACAATACTGTTTTAAGTAACCCATAGGTTATGGGTTATTTTTGTTTGTTTGTAGTTGGGAGCAATGTTTTTGTTTCTCTTTTTGGATTTAGATGGCTAACGTTGACTGGTTAATCTCATGAGGATTATGGCTACTTGTTTTCAGATCTTGAAACACTAGATAAAAAAAAAGAAAGAGAGAGTATTGAGCCCTTTAAGGAACTCAAAGTCTAGGGGATTAGAACAGAACTAAGGTGACCTTGTGAGAAAACTGGATTGTGCTACAGAATGTCAGCACAAATGGCCAGACGTTGCTAACGAAGGTGCCTCCTACTCCTCTCATCCATCTCTCCAAAGGCCATTCATTATGTGTTGTCCAAAGTACTACTACTAGGGACTGTCAGGGATGACACGTATTGAAGTCTGATTCTCCCAGTGTTTGAGCTATTCTCTGGAATTAAACTGAGCATTTTGGGGAATTGCATAGTCTTTCAGGATACCAGTGCCCCCTTAGGGCCACAAAGGTACCATTTACTAAATTACTGCTTTGCTGAACTCACTTACTCACAGGAAATCTTTTTAGCTCTGGGAAAATATGAGTCATCATCACTTTTGTCCTCACAACAATAGGCAGCTTAAAATCTAGCCATCCAAGCAAAAATTTCTGGAAGGGACCCCTTCTTTGTTAATTTAAAATAAACATATCTAGTTCCCTTTAATCCAAAGGCAACTGCTGAGAGTAAATTAGATTTAGGATGTCTAGAGTTATCTACCAAGTCAGAGCCTGAATTAGAAAATGAACTCAGGTTTCCTGAACCCAGCTTAATGTTCATTTAACATTGCATGCCTGACCAGTTTAGCACCTTGCATTCAATGGGCTTTTAATAAATGTTCATCAGTTATATAATATACTGTTTTTGTTGTTCTTTGATGAATACTGGGCCAAATTTCTATATCGTGTATCTATATCATTTATGACTTAATACATGAAAATGTTCAAAATAGCATACAATGTTAGCTCAATGAAAATAATTATTGTATTGGTCCTGTAGAGATAAACAGCTCAGTTCCTTTAGCCAGTCCTCATAAAGCATGATCTCAAAGCCTTCACCATCTGATTACTCTCCTCTAAATGGTTCTAGATTATTAGCATCTTTCCTAAAATGTTATGTGAAGAACCAAACACCATACTCCAGATGCAGTCCAACCAGAGCAGAGTACAGTGGAACTAATACATCCCTAGTCCTAGATATTTCATTATTCCATTCGCTTTTAAAGTTGTCATATCATATTCATATTAATGCCATATTCAGAATAATTGCTCTCTAGATGTGTCTCTCTATATGATGCTGTCACTGTAAGATTGAGGATTTTAAAAAATTAGCTCAAGTATGAGACTTTATATTTGCCCATATTAAATTTCATTTCAGTGCCTGGCATATAGCAGATGTTTAATAAGTATTGATTGATTGATTGATCTTGATAGATTAAGCCTAGTGTTCTAGGTTGTCCAGATCTATTTGGATTCTGATTCTGTTATTTAATACATTACCTATCCCTCTGTCTGCATGTCATCTGTGTATCTGACAAGCTTACCTTTATCCTCGTCATTGACTAAAATGTTAAGGAGTATTCAACTAAACACCAATCCCTAGGCTATTCAACTAAAAAATACACTTCTAATTTAATGCTGACCTCTTAGTGGATTTTTGGGTCCATTTGTTCAGTTAGTTTATAATTCACTCAACTTTATTATCATTTTTTTTTTTTTTTGGCTAGGCAGTGGGGTTAAGTGACTTGCTCAGGGTCACACAGCTGGTAAGAGTTATGTGTCTGAGGCCGGATTTGAACTCAGGTCCTCCTGAATCCAGGGCCGGTGCTCTATCCACTGCAACTTTAGCTGCCCCACACACAACTTTATTATTGGCAGACCCATCTGCCCATCTCTTCCACAAGAGCAGAATGATAGATTTGGCCAAATGCTTTGATAAAATCCAGGAAAATTCTGTATAGATTCTGTGAATTTTCTAAAATAAAAATAGATAATTATATTTTAATAGAATTTGTTTCCTTTATAATCCTGTGTGTTTGCTTTTATGCATTTAAAAACATGATTATGAGGAGTCCCTAAGCTTCGCCATAACACCAAAGGGGCCCATGGCACCAAAATGTTTACAAACCCCTGGTCTAGAGCATTTGTCTGGTGTAACAGTTAGTAACCAAGATTTTCAAAAACAAAAAAATGACATTAGTTATTATGGCCTGTTTATGAAGTCATGCTAGCTCTTTGGGGTTGTTGAGTCTTTAGATAAACTCCTAAAAAAAACCAGACCTGTAGGTTAATAGGTGGTAGAGGCCTCCTGGCAAGGTGCTTCCCATACCAATTTGTCATACTAGCATTCATAGGGCCTTGCATTATCTCACTGGATCCCCACAACGATCCTGTAAGGTAAGTGCTATTATCCTTACTTTACAGATGAGGAATAGTGGTGGAGAAAGGTTAAGTGATTTAATCTGAGTCACACAGCTAGTGTCTGAGGCAGGATTCATGCTCCTGTCTTCCTAACTCCAAGTCCAAGTCCAACTCACCCCTGGCTGCCCAATGCAAATCAGCATCTTCTTTGCAAGGTTTTGCCTGTAACACTGTGAGGCTAAGCGAGGGCCACTTCCGGGACCGTACAGATGAGCAAAGTCTTGAAGTCGCGATGGCCTGGCTTCTAAAGTGTCACCTCCCTATCCGCTGTGGCCTTTAATAAGGCACATTCTATATTTGGCCAGGAATCAAGTCAACTTCCTTGTCTATAGTTTAGCCTTCATCTCTCCCTCTTTTGAAAATCAAGACATTTCTCCTTTTCCAATCTGGTCTCTGTTCTGCACGATCATTCAGACATCACTGAAAGTTACTTAGCAGTCAAATCTACCATTTCTTTTAGGGTCTTCAGTAAAATTGGGCCTGGTAGCTTGAATTTATTGAAGACAACTTGGTGGCCTCTTGCAATCTTCCTGTTTCTCTTGGTTATCAACTCCTTTTTAATCATTTATGTTCAGAGAAACATTGTCACTAAGTGGATAGAGAATCAGACTTAGAATCATGTAGATCTAATTTCCTCTAAATCCAACATTGACCAGTTCTGAAACCCAGGCAGATCATTTATCCTCTCTTAGATTCAGTTTCTTCATCTGTAAAATGGAGATAATAAGATAATAATAGTGTCGTTATAAAGCTTGAATGAGATAATATCTTTAAAATTCTTTACCAATTTTGAATAAATGTTAGTCATCCTTGTTGTTACTCTGCCCTTGCCAATGCAAAGGTTATTCCCCATGAGAGACAAAATGAGCTTATATAGGGTATAATAGCATAGACTAAAAATTAATACCAATTATAGACCACAGTCAGGTTTTATACAAGCCTGATTTGAAGAAAAAATAAGGTCTATATTTAGAGAAGTACGATAGATATCTCCCCGTTTCTCTCTCATCAGCATCTTTGACTTTTATTTTTTACCACTTTGGTGTTTTATCGCATCCCTCTGAGCTAAACTAGATTCTCTACATAAATGGTACCTTTCAGAATAAAAACGTACTTTTGGAATAAAAGAGCCTAAGAAAACCTAACACTGAAACAGATAGCCAAGAGAAGTTTTGACCTCTTCCCAGGGAACTCTGGAAACAATGATATTGATATATATTTTCCAGGAATGGTTTGAATGAAGCCCTTGCCAGAGAAGCAGACACACAGAATGACTGTTAATAACTCAGGGAGTCTATCATTACAAGTCAGCTCTTGCTTATTCATCAGATAAAGTCATCCACATAACCTTACTCTGCATTGGATAAGGCCTTTAAGTTTACATGTTTCCTGGGCTTACATGTTATAAAACTTTATACAGAATGGAAATACTGGAGATACAGTTAGTCATCAGGTCAACTCTAAGATTGCTATCATCATAAAGATACATAACAAGCTTATACTGTCTACCAGCATATTTTTGCTTTGCTTAAAGCAATAAAAATGAGCCTCAATTTGTAATTTCATATTTCAAAGAGTATGTCTCCTACCAAGATTACACATAGTAACATCATTTTCCCTCTAAATTCTTGAGTATTGAGGGGATGTTCGGGTACCTCATCTCAGATGTGACAATACAATCTTGCCCAAGTCTGATAGCATTGGTGTATATTTATCCTTTATCCAAAATTTATTCCTTAAGAATTGGAAAGGGCATGGACTAGGCGACTCCAGGATTCACGCGTCTAGCCTCAGCCTTGTACCTGATGCTTGGATACTGTACATTATCCGTTGGTGTTTGAGATTTCTGGGGGAAGAGCATGGGGTTAAAAGTTTGAGGGACAGACATGTGATTATAAATGACTGGTAGTTAGGTAGTACATATACTACCACTTTGATTGATATTAGTTTTGTTTCTGCATTACAGAAATATAACAATGATTGGTGGATAGGACGGCTGGTTAAAGAGGGCTGTGAAATTGGCTTCATTCCAAGTCCACTTAGACTGGAGAATATCCGAATCCAGCAGGAGCAGAAAAGAGGACGCTTTCATGGAGGGTAAGATTCCCTCTCTCCCTTATTCAAACTCTCTTACATCAAAGGAAAATCAGGTTATATTTTTGGATTCAAGGATCAATTTTAAAATGCATAGTGTTTTTTAAACAAAAACTCACCTGATATACAAGACTTACTTTGTGAAACCTTATCTTAAAGGGATCCAAACACCTCAACATCCTTAGCACTCTTCCCAAGTATGTGCTAATTATAGTCTGATAACTCCACTGGGGACATTTGAAATTTTGTGACTATGTCTATAGCTACATGATCACAAAAAATCATATATGGTATGAAAAGCTTTATCAGATTACTTTGTTAAGTGATGAAGCCCTACTCGCCTATTCTACCATTTAAATGAGCCATGGCAAACCACACTGACCAAATGTTATAGTTTTTTTCCAGTCACCTTTAGATAGTTGGAGAAACAGGCAGGACACAGAAAGTAATGGATGGTCAAATAATCTGAGGACACTCTTTGTCCACTCAAAGCTTTTCAGGGGCATCTGAAATGTCTAGCTAAGGAAATGAAGAATTTAGTTAACCTGATGGGAGCCACTCTTTAAAAAAAGTACTGGAGGACAAATAGGAATCCTACTTGTAGGACAAATATTTAAAAGTCTCACAGGAAAGCAAGCAGGTATTAAGAAGCCCACGTATGTTAAGTTCCTACTCTCACTGAAGCATTGATTGCATGTGTCACTATTTTTGAATACCTTAAAATAGAATCAATTATCACTCCCTTCTCCACCTATTTCTTCCTTCTCCTTCCTCTGTTGGGGCCACCTTTGCCTGTTTCAGAAATGTTTCAGTGTTTGTTTGGGATCCCACGTTATTGTTTTAACAGTAACTTGATTAGCAAGAAGAAAAATAGAAAAGTCTGAATGAGAAATCATCTGCTTTCTTCCATTGCTACTTTGCTTATTCTTTCTGTTGTGCACCATGATTGTCTCTTAGGTGATATCATCTAATTCTATCTTAGGGTGAGGGAGAGGAAGCAGGGAATTTTATTTTCTGGGATTGGTCAAAATAATGTCTTATTGTGTACACATGGAAGCACTCTTAGAAATTCATTTTAGTTCAACAAATTCTTAAGTGCTTACTATATTGCATACCTGACACTAGACACTGGGGTCACATTGAAAGGTATGGCTCCTGTAGTTTTCATTGAGAGATTAAGACATTTTTATTTTACCTATGTTTTGGCACACTTAGTGGAAATGCTAAACTTTAATTAAACAAAGCATACTCACACTTGTGTACTTATGAGATGGTTGTATTAATCCTAATCACTCTCACAAAAAAAAAACAACAAAATGAAATGAGGGGAAATTGAATGATAGATTACATGTTTCTGTAACTTCAAAACTGTCTGAGAGCAGAAACCATGCCCTACATACCCTGTATTCCACCATCACCTAGTGTAGCACTTTGCACATAGGTAATAGGAGTTTCATAATAGCAATTAAATGATAATATCACTATATTAAAAAAAAGTTCTTTTCAAAGGTTAGCTAATGGTCTACTCATTTCAAACAACATTCCTTGCACCAGAATTCTATTACCCTAATAAAAAATCAATTTGGAGACATAATTGAGGTTTGATTGCACAGGATTTGATTTGTTGAATTCATTAGAGTTTTAGTCAAATAAAGCATGTCATGTTCTGGCTCTGTCATTAGACAATCTTTGAGGTTTGTGTTACATATATTTTTTGGTTTTATCCTAGGAAATCAGGTGGAAATTCTTCTTCAAGTCTTGGAGAAATGGTGTCAGGAACATTTAGAGCAACACCCACATCAACTGGTAGGGGTGTTATTTGAACACTTATTAGAAATTATTCCTTTCCCGAGATTTCAAAATAAATGAAAGTCCTTTTACTAATACAGAAAAGTTTTAGAAGGCCTGATTTTTTTCTGATGTTTTCTTTTTATTATGTAATTACAGTACTCTTTTTCTTTTTTAACCTAACTTGGCACTAATACCACTAAAAAAGAACAGAACACCACAACTGTAAAATAATTATGAATATCTTATTGATAACCCAGAGGCAGGACCTCTGTTACCTAAGATTGTCTGAAGTAAATCCTTCACCTGACTCCAAGCTCAAAAGACTAGGAGCTTTTTAAGACCAATAGAAGAAAAAAATGGAAAGTTGTGCTTTTTTTTTTTTAAAGAGGAAATACTCTCTCTTACCAGGTCCCCAAGTGAAAACTTGGAAATGGTCATCATAGCCTAGGGTACCAAGCAGGAGTGGATAAATAGTGAAGAGAGGGGCCATCTATTTTCAGGAACCAAACTGATTTCTGGTTTTGAAGGGGACAGGATGAGAGGTGGCATGTTGGCACTATATTCATATATTGGGGGTAATCAAAGTAGATACACAGCAGTTTTTCTCCTACCCCATGCTCCTTCTTCTTCCTATCTGCTGATTCTAGGGGAAGGAGCAGGGAGGAGAAAGAAGTACTTCAGATTCAGACCCATTAGCTCAAAGGGTCCAATTTGGCCTGTAGAAACCTCCGCTGATCTCTCTGAAGGACTTCAGGGAGATATAATAGTAGCTACAATGCCTTTGGTTCTTTTCTCAAGTAAACCCAGACAGACCCCAGGGATCCTGAACCAAAATTGACCCCCATTTCTGAAAGCCAATTTGAATACCTGGCTTTGCCAGAAAACTGCAGAATTTCTGGAAGTCTTTCAGCTTATGCATTATCAGGGCTGTCCCTGAACTCTCATACACATTATGAATCAGCAGCCCATTTGCCTTCTTGTATGAACAGGACAGGATGTAAGGTAGCATACTATTTATATGTTCTGTTTTCCTTTACATTTCATGAAATGGAGAGGATCAGTATAGAAATTGATCACTTTTTCCATGTGGCTCTCATCACAGATTAGTAGACCAAAAGAATTGTGAGAGAGAAATTAGTACATTTTCCATCATTTAATATCATCTTCTACCATTTAAAGACAGTATATATTTTGATATAGTTCTCATTGTTGTCTTTTAGCAAAACAGAAGCAAAAAGTGGTAAGTTGTGTTTCTTTTTTTATTAAATTTGTTGTTAAGGTCTGCTTGCCTACTGTGTCCAATTTTATTGATCTGATCAGTTGTTAAATGAGGGATGTTTCCCTCCTCGACAGGAAGCTGTGATGATAATTTAGTGTTGGAACTGGAAAGTGGAAACTTGTGCTACAGTTGAAAAGTTGTTAGTCATTTATTTGTCTGGTCACTGATTAAAAAATCATCTCTTTTCAGACAGAGCATATCCCTCCTTATGATGTGGTGCCATCCATGAGGCCAGTTGTATTAGTGGGGCCGTCACTGAAAGGTTATGAGGTATAAGTGCCAGTCTTTTTTACCATTCTTCTTCTAGAACACAGAGCACAATCATTTGGGTCTAGGACTTCTGGATACTCGATCCTGTCATCAAACTTTCATTGATTACCATTGACACACCGTTATGTGAGGGCAAGTGATCAAATTTGTGTTTTTTTCAGGTCCTTCCGCTTCTCTTTCCTGTCTTGCTTGTTTCTTCATTTAACCCTTCAGAAAGACCTCCCAGGGAAAATGAAAGGAGATATACTTGAAGGAAGCTGTTTTGCTAGTCTTTTTGATGGCTGCGGTAAAAGATTAAATTGAGGGTGGAAAGGATACATTAATTTACTATTGATGTCATTTACCTGTAGGCACTTCCTCTCCTGTCACCATAAGGAACTGAAAATCAATGCATAAGGGAATCTATCAACAATCAGCCAGCAGCCCTAAATCATCCTGTAGGAGATACCACCAAAGCACCTCTTGTTAGGTCTTTTGGAAGCAGTATTTAGATAATACCTGGGATTATATTTCTTTATTCAAAATAAGAATATTATACAAATACTAGCATAATTTTAAAACAGATTGATCAAATATCACTAGGTAATAAGAGATAAATAAGGACTTTTACTTCATCAAATTTTAGAAAATTGAGTAATTTTGGTTCCTCCATTTAGGGACGGAGATTGCTTGGGAAATAGCACTCCAAAATGGAAATCTCAAAGTGTATAACCCTGAGCACACCGTGCTTACTGGCTTTTTGGAGACAGAAATTAACATCACCATTCTCTTCTCCTATTGCTAGTGGGACGGCTGGGGATTGCTGATGGGATAGTGCACTGTGACCTTATGGCTGCCAATATTTGAATGAATGTACACCACCTTGAAAAACTCCTGAACTCTTTGTAGGTTTTGAATTTCCCCTAACTATACCCTGCCAAAGAGAAGAATGGCTAGGGTGTTTTGGGCCAGGGCCAGTACCTGTATATAAAAGACACTTCTATGGCTTATCCAATGGCTATGCTCTGGTCCCTGGCAAGCAGTTCTCTTGCAGGTGGCTGCCTCGAGGGGCAGGGACTCTGGAATGATTCGTGACTTCATCTAGATGAGAACCTAGACAAAGGAGAGGATCTAGGAAAAGAATAAGGGGAGAATTTTCTTTTCTCTAAGCTCGGTAAACATTGCTAGTTTATTCCTATGTGCATGGAAAGAGCCAAGTGGGGAAAAAGGAATAAATGAATGTAGTTATACATAAAGTGGCTTTTGCAGGAGCTTAGCTCTAATTGATTACTGGCTGTGAAAGAGTCTTGGGTTACTGGTAGTGAGTGTCTTTACCTTCTTCTGCCTTTTCTCTCACTTTTGCCTTCTTTCTCTCCCTCTCTCTGTCAATACTTGCTCCATCTTTCTCACCTCCACAAAGGTGACAGACATGATGCAGAAAGCCCTCTTTGACTTCTTGAAGCACAGGTTTGATGGGAGGTGAGACATAAAGATTTTTTTCTTTTCATTGACTGTGTGTGACAGAATGGTTTCTGTTCCTATATAGTTTCCTTCTAGTACAGAAATGTTATTGTGGTAAGTTCATTTGGTTATCAGAAATGAATAAAAAAAAGTAGTTCTGAAGAGTCTGAAACAAGCTTTTCACAGCCAAGCATAAAACAATCCTATGGATATACGTGGATATAATTACTTTTAAAAAATGTTTGAATGTTACCTTTTAAAAATTTTGAATTTTTTCTCTTCCTGCCTGTGATATCCTATACATAGGAAGCATATATATATATATATATATACATACATGTGTATGTACATGCACATATATACATACATATCCAAATGAGTCTTGTCACCTGCAAAACAGTCACCTTGGTAAACTATACACTTATTCTAATCATGCTACTATAGCTCAAAAATTTTTTTTAACTTTAAAATTGCTTGACAGCACACAATTCTTTTGAATGTCATGGGTAACAAAATACTTTTGGCAAATTTGGCTTTCTAAAATAGGTCAAATAATTTGCAGCCCAATCTGATGAATATAATAGGTGATCAGGCCAGACAGTAATATCATTTTTTAAACCCCAATCATGGTATGACTATAAAGTAAAGAGTAGTTTTCTTCTATGGCTCATAAACTGGTTGGTGGAAGGTAATTCCCAAAGAGAAGTTCCAGAAAAGTTGTGAACAATGGCAGCATTGTTCAAATAAGTACATAACTTCCCAAGGTGACTACCTTTAAGAGGACCATACTCATTTGAGTGTTTAAATTCTGGTGTATTTTATTTGTTCAGTTTAACCCTGTATGCATTCTCCATGGCATCTTTAGCAATGCCAGTGAATTTTGAGCTCAAAAATATTTGGTTACTTACTAACATGAGAAACAAAAAAATCGACTGTGATAAGGAGAAGAAGTAGCAGAGAATGCTTCATTTTAGAAGGAAGTGACAAATTAGTTCATTTTCAATTGATTCAAAATACAAAGCTTTTCTTACACAATGGGATGCACTTCAAGTACAAAGAATCACACAACATTTGGAGAGTTATCAAGAATGGAAATAAATTTAAATGACAAATACAGAGAAGCCTGTGTGGACACTTATAAGTTGTTAAATGGATTAAATGTATTTTAAAAAATAAATCAAAATAAATATTGGCAAAGATGATACTTAAAGGAAATCACTATACAGGACATGATAACTCTTTGCTTAGTATGTAAGTATTTATAAGGACAAAAACATTCTGATTGTACTTAGCACAGTGCCTGGCATGTAGTAGGTGTTTTTGTTTTTTGTTTTTTTTTTTGATCATGGCTTTCAGGTACACCAATAATTCTTCAATTACCTCTCCTGGATCTATTTTCCAGTCATTTGTTTATCCAATGAAATATTTTACATTTTCTTCTATTTTTTCATTCTTTTGATTGTGTTTGAGTGATTCTTGCTGTCTCATAGAGTCATTAGCTTCCACTTGGCCAATTCTAATTTTTAACAAATTGTTTTCTTCGTTTAGCTTTTGTACCTCCTTTTCCATTTTTGCCAATTCTGCTTTTAAGGAGTTGTTTTCTTCAGTGTTCTTTTTTTCCCATATTATCTATTGTATTTTTAAAGAAATTGTTTAATTTTTCTTCTACCTCTCTTATTTGACTTTTAAAATCCTTCTTGAGCTGCCCAAGAAGGGCTTGAGACCAATTCATATTTCCATTTGAGGTTTTGGATGTGTGTATATTGGCAATACTGTCCTCTTCTGAATTTGTGTTTTGATCTTCCCTGTCCCCATGATAAGAATCTATGGTCTTTGTTTTTCTTTGTTGCTTTTTGCTCATGGTGTTTGCCTTTTTCCAGACTTTTAAAGGTCATTTCTGCTTCTGGGGCACAGGTGGCACTGTCCCATGCTTTTTGTGCTGGGTACTAGGGATCTAGTTATTGACTTTGTCTGCTGGAGCCTCAGGTGCTGGCAGCTGGAGGCTGTAGGGGGTCCGGTAGTTTACCAGGTGCTGAGCCTGGAGCTGGTAGTGGTGGCGACTAGTGTGTGTTGAGGCCAGGTGGGGTTTTTTTGTATTTCCTCGGGGTTATACTGAAGCTTGCTAGGTGGGGTGGGGATGGGGGTGATCTAGCCGATGGAGGTTGCCTCCTGTTCTGTGGCTGTGCTAGAGCATGGGTAGGTTCAGTGCACGTGGTGGTTCTCCACGCTGGCATCTGCCAGTTCCCCTGGCTGTGCAAAGGCCGGGGCAGGAGGAGTGTCCTGGTGTTGGCGCTTGCCTGCTCCACCACCCTAGGGCTCGGGATCTTTCACTGGTTTACTGAGGTGGGGCTTGCCACTGGCTTACTGGGATGCTTCCTGTTCTGTACTGGTCCCCTTCAGCCATTGCAAGAGGGACCTTTCCTGTCAATCCCCCTAGTCTCATGAGCTAAAAGGCTGCTGCACCCCATCTTTCTGCTGGCTCCACTGTTCCATGATTTTTCCTAGGGCAGTATTTTCCAAGTTTTTCAAGGTCATTAAGAGAGGGTGAGAGCAACTTACTGATTAGTCCACCATCTTGGCTCCTGGAAGTATAGTAGGTGCTTAATAAGTGTTTATTGAATGAATAGATGATTTAAACATCCCACAAGTTTTGAGGACTACGTGGAGGACTACTGATTCTGGACAGCAGAATAAAAAAGATCTGCCTCAAATGAAGCAAGATTAAAAAAAATATTTTTAGTTTGACAAATTAGAACTTTTTAATACTAATACTGGAAATTATACCCCATTGGGTACCAACACATTAACATGAAGACAATGCCATATATGGCACTCTTTTATTGGTTTCTCATACTTTTCATGACTATCTAAGGTGGGCATTTCCCCAAGGTTCTCTCTTTGGTTCATTATTCTTTCTGCTCCCGCTTGGCTTCCTGTCTTTCTTGGCAAGCTCATTCATCTCCTTGGTTTTAGCTATGCATATGATTCCTGGTTAAATTTGTATTTCCAGGTGTATCTCTAACTGTATCTCAGCTAGGTGGTACAGTAAATAGAACACTGGGCCTGGAGCCAGGAAGCTCTGGGTTCAAGTTTAGCCTCAGATACTTATTAGCTATGTGACCCTGAGCAAATCACTTAATCTCTGATTGCCTCAGTCTCCTCATCTGTAAAATGGGGATAATAATTGTACCTACTTCGCAGGGTTGTTGTTAGGATCAAATGTGATATTTTATGTAAAGTGCTTGGGATGCTATATAAATATTAGCTATATATTATTATTATTATTCCTGACTTCTCCTTAATGTTAGAACTACATTTCTAAGTGCCTACAGAACATAAAGTATTTTGCCAGCATATCAAAATGTTAAAAACCAGGCTCATTATTATTTTCCCTAAATTTACCCTTCCTTCTGACTTTTCTTTACTATTTCTAATGTGGCAAAACCATTCACACAGATGCCCCCAATTGAAATCTTGGTGTAATCTTTGAATTCTGGCTTCTTCACTTCTCACATTGACATTACCAAGTCTTCTCAATTCTTTGTCCACAATACCTTTCACATCTGTCCCTCTCTATTCTCATTGTCATAATACTAGTACAGACCCTCAATACTGCCCTGCTGAACTATTGTAATAGTCTTCTAATAAGTCTTCCACCTCCATTTTCTACTCCTAATTCATCCTTAGTACTCTTTTCTAGGTCACAGAACTCCTCTGCTCAAAAATTTTCAGTGATTCCCCAATGCCCACAATGTTACATTTGAACTCTTTTTGGCATTGAATTAGTATCAAAGGCCATAACCTGGAGCCATCCTTCCTTTACTGCTTTTCTCACATGATTCTGTTGCATATTCTCTACCCTGGCCTCTTTAGTCATTATCCCTCACAGGTCTTCTCCCTTCCTGTTAAAAATTTTTTAATGGTATCAAATGGTTGGAAACTAGAATCTATGAGAAAAGACTAAAAGAGTTGGAATTCTGTAGCCAGGAGAAGTTAACCGGCTATTTTCCATCAGCTATGAAGATATATGAAAAAGGAAAGATTGCTTATTTTAGGAGATCCATTACTAATCAGGAAAAATGTTTTGATAGAATCCTTAAACATTAAAATGGTCTATTAAATGAGACTATAAAAGAAAGGAGAATTGAAATTTATTGTTGGTGTATCAGAGAGGCTGATGACAGGCCAGCATATATAGTGAAGTGAGAGATGAAGTTAGAAAACATCAGAAAATATAGTAATCATAGAATGTGAAATTAATCATGAAAAATCCTTTGAGGGAAACTCTGAGCATAGACTGTGGATGGCAGAGATGGCTAACAGAGGAGACCAGAGAGAGGACTCACTTTAAAAATATTTTTGACTTGTAAGACTCATGCAAGCATGCAATCTTAATAATCACTTCATTAGTAGAGAATGTGTGAAGGCCTTGATGAGGAAGAGTTGGTTTTTGGTTATGGCTTTCATTCCTCTTCACCATTTTATACTCCATTGGGTGTATCATTTTATATTGGGCTAAGACAGCCTGCTGAGTTATATGTTACCCAGTTAATAAAAAGAGAGAAAACAGACACACTTTAATAAGGATTACACAAAAGGACAATGTTGCTGAAGGTTTTAATACTATGATATAGCAAAAAAAAATGTGTTGCTGAAGAAAGACTAAATGATTCATTGACTAGAAATGTAGCTAGTCTGAACAAAGTAATGATGAAAAAGTTCTATCATTCATTCCTTCTCCAAGATCAAAGAAGCAACTGGTCACCAAGAGATTCTCTTACTTAGTATGACTGCTTCATATCTTTGTTAGAAAATAACTGAACAAATCTGTTTGAAGTAGGAGGACTTTGGACTATCCCTAAATCATAAACTTGTCTTTTGTTGATGCCTTAGAAATGTTCAGAGTAAATTAGTACATAAAGGTTGTACATAGTGCTGTTGCTGTAGCTGTTGGTAGAGTGATACTATCTAAAATTTTGAGGGAATGTCACAGAATACTTTTAGGAAAAAAAGAAAGTGTTACTAAAGAGGAAGAGTGGAGGAAAGGATAGAATTTGGTCTTGGAGTCAGGAAGTCTCATACTTACTAGCTATGTGAACCTGGATAAAGTGTTTAAAGTTGTGTGCCCCAAATCATGGAAGAGTTGTGATCTGCTTGGTGGAGGGAGTTTCCACACTGGGCAGATAGGATTATATAAGATAGACAATGATGGAGAGCTGTATTTTTACTTTAGTACACATCTTTGTTATTCAATTAAAGGGTCCCCTCCATTCTGTCCTGCTTTCTTTTTTTAACTAAAGTCCAGGACCTATTAAATAAAACTTTTCTGTCTGGTGTTTACTATACTGTGCCTGGGCTCTATATATAGTGTTGTCGAGTGCTTGCTGAGTATTGTGGTTGTAAATCACTTACAACCTAGCTGACTTCTGACTCAGTTATTCTGTTCTATGTTCCTGTTAATAGGATATCCATAACGAGAGTGACAGCTGACATTTCTCTTGCTAAGAGGTCTGTCCTAAATAATCCCAGCAAGAGGGCAATAATCGAGCGGTCAAACACACGATCCAGCTTAGGTAAGATGTTCAAATGTTCTGTATTTCCCCAAGCTGAGTTTTTCGATCAGAATAGCACATGCTGCTTTTATGAATGTCTTTCCCGACTCACCTGCTATTCTAATCATTGAACTATACATAATGCCAGCACCTGAAAGGAAAGAAACACCTGCAGGATATAGAGCCAGTCAATTAGTTAATTAGTAGTCTAGTGGGAAGGGCCCTTGAGTGAGTTCAAATCTTAGAATAGTCTAAGAGGAACCACAGGAAGTCTCTCATCTCTTAGCCTTGCTGTGTCCCATTTCCCCCAACCTTTCAATGAAACTAATGATACCTATTCAATACCTAACTTACAGAGCAGATGGGAAATAAAATGAAGTGTGAAGCTCTGTTAAATCCTTAGAAAAAAGAACAAATCATAAAGTATTCTTGATATCACTACTACTACCAAATATGTATGTGTGTTTTGGTTCAAACCTGTCTTTTGTTCAAAGTGGAAACCCCCTCCATTGATACAGATTATCAGCTGATTAGTCATTTATAGTCTTAGACAGTCATTTGAGGCACAGAGAGCTTAAGTGATTTGCTCAGGGTCACAAAACTATCATTTAAAAAAGCTTGGTATAGTGGATAAAGGGCTGGCCTTGGAGTCCTACAAAATGGGTTCAAAGCCTACCCTTGATGCTTTCAACCTATGTGACCTTGGACAAGTGATTTAATTTTCTTGGGCCTCAATTTCTTCATTTGAAAAATGAAGGAGCTCAACTGGACATCCTCTGAGGTCCCTTCCAGCTTTTTATTTATGACCATATAACTCCAAGCACAGCCATCCAACACTTACACCATGATGCCTCTCTATCAGTTGTATGAGAACACTGAATGTTAATAAGAAAAAGTTATTACTACTGTGCAAGGAATTTAAACACGTTTCCACATGTCATCAGTGTGATGATATCTTGGAAATCCGTTTTTTTAATATAAGGTTTTAGTGATTAGGATCTTCATCCAATATAACTGGTGTTGCCAAAGTCTGTGCCCTACCGTTCCTTCCTCTGATGAACAAGGTGAAACCCAGACCATGAACCAGTCCTGAGGGAAGAAGAACATACCCTACTCCTTCAGCCATGGGAAGCAGCAAAGGCACATGTGACGACTCCCTGAAATCATGTGGTCTTCTCTGGCTCCAGCGTTGAAGAAGCAAGGGGGAATCAATCTCAATTCTACAGACCATTCTCGGGAACTAAATGGAGTTTTAATCTTTATTGGTTTTGAGAGTTATAGTCTTACAACCATCTGAACACTTCAGCTAGTTGTCAGCATAGAAATATTTGAGATCTTGTTAGTACATATGAAAATGATAGTATGTTATGATATCACTTTCATTTTTGAAGTGAGACTTAACAGACAAATACATATCCTTATCTGGGACCATAACTGGTCTGTGTATCTAGTCACTTCGACTGAAAGGTGATGCTATAATTAAACTTTCCTTAGGACCTCTCAGCAGCTCTTATAACCAGGAGGCCCGGGAAATGACTTTGATACTTTTATTTTAAGAATTTTGAAATTTAATTATGTTTCTATTATACTTATCATAAATATAATTTAATATTATACTTATATATTATATTTATAATATTTATATTATATAATACTGTTATAATTTATATATTATAAATATATTTATAACTATAAATTATATTTAATTAAGAATAATTAATTAGAAATTTAATTTAGAAATTAATTATACAGAAATCTGTATAATTCTCCTTTATACCTATAACATGTAGATTTCTAAATGTGATTCTTGACTGGAACTACTTCCTCCTCCTCTCCCCCAGCCTCTACCCTTACCATATTCTCAACCTATCTATGCTGGTGTCATAATGAAACATTGACTAACTTAATTATACATGGCCTTAAGAGGTATTTACCTCTTCTCATTGTCAACTAAGATGTAATGTTAGATAGACAGTCTGTGGATATTGAAATGGATAAGTAACAGAATATACCTACACCACAACATTAATCCCTAAATGCTAATAGCTGAGAGCAGGTAGGTGGCACAGTGGTTGGTGCTGATTTTTGAGTCAAGAAGTTTTTGTTGTTCAGTTGCATCTGACTCTTTATGACCCCAGTTGGGATTTTCTTGGCAGAGATACTGGAGTGATTTGCCATTTCCTTCTCTAGCTCATTTTACAGATGAGGAAACCGAGGCAAACCAGGTTAAGTGACTTGCCCAGGGTCACACAGCTAGTTAGTGTCTGAAGTCAGATTCGAACTCTGATCTTCCTAATTCCAGACCTGGTGCTCTATCTGCTGTGCTACCTAACTGTCTTGTAATCAGGAAGACATGAGTTAAAATTTGCTTCAGATGCTTGCAAGCTATGTGACCCTGGGTAAGGCACTTAACCTCTCTCAGATTCAACTTCCTCATTTGTAAATTGGGGATAATAATATCACCTACCTCATGGGGTTGTTTTGAGGATCAAATGAGGTAATATATGTAAAGTGCTTTGCAAACCTTAGAGTGCTATATAAAGGCTAGCTATTATTCCTTTCATGCATTGAGTAAATAAGGTTCCTACATCACTGGATGATTTACACAGGAGTGCATCTGTGGAAGCCACTCCACTTAACAAATGTCCAGTCTGTGGCAACAGATTCAGCTTATGGTACTGCCTTTTGGTTGCTTCACATAAAGCTGTATCAGGATTTACACCTCAAAATAAATACAATTTGCAGAAAATCAGAATTATTCTAACATAGTCCTAACCACATGTCATACCTGCATAAGCCAGTGGAAGTATCGTGCAAACAGAAAGTAGGAGACAAGGCCACGTGCCTGGAAGCTAACATGTATAACAAAGAATAGTTTTATTTCCTAATTTATCTTTTTTAGGAGTGATCTCTTACTCTGTGGCATATCCATGACTACTTATGAGAGCTCACATTTAAAATATGATAAAGAGACTAATATCAGATTTTTCTTTCCAGAGATGACCTAAGCTTATTTATTTTAAAAAAGCAATTTAAAAAAATTTAGATCTAAACCCCATTTAAGGGAAGTATTGTGAAAGACTTTGTGGTATAGTGGTGAAAATGCTGGACTCAGAGTCAGAAAGGTGTGGGTGACAGTTCCGCTTCACGCACTTACTAGCTGTGTGACCCAGGGATCAATCATTTCATCTCTCTGAGCCCTATCTGTAAAATGAGGGCAATCAGACTCATCACCTCCTAAGGTCTAAATCTAGGACCCCATTCATATCAATATCACCTTTTTTCCCTCATAAGAACTTAAAATTGATATTGAATATGCATATGCATTACATAAGCAGATCTGGTTCCAGATTTTCCAGATAATATTTCACCTCTGAAATAATATTGTCAGCTGAGCATGTCTGTACTTTGTACTGCTAGGGAGACTGAGGCTAGTGATCTCTTGAGCTCTAGAGTTCTGAGCTAAAGTGGGTTGAAACTGATTGGGTGTCTACACTGAGTTCAGCACCAATATGGTGAGCTCCCAGGAGCATGGGGCCATCAGGCTACTCAAGGAGCAGGAGCCACCAAGGCTGCCACAAAGCTCTCTGGCTGATCACTAGTGGGATAGAGTCTTGGTGTGACAACTGCACTTCCAGGCTGGGCATGATGAGGAAGGAGGGGAGCAAAAATATTTTGGTTTCAGTTCAACTTATTCATGTATGCTAGATATTTTGTACAAAGACACTATCAGCTTAGTACTTCTATTTGGGAAGGGGTGAGGAGCAGAGCTATTAGGTCACACTTAGAGCTAAACATTCTGAAATTTTAATATCTAGTTATCTATAGTATAGACATGGTCCATTCATTTATTTATTCATTTAATGCTTTTGAAGTGTAACACATTGTCATAGGTACTACGGGAAATGAAAAGATCATAATAATAATAGCTAGCATTCATGTAGCACTTTAAGTTTTACAAAACTGCTTTACAAATATCACCTCTTTTGATCCTTGCAACAACTCTGAGGTAGGTGTTATTATTATCCTCATTTTACAGATGATGCAACTAAGGCCAATAGAGGCTATGTGACTTGCCCAGGGTCACACAGCTACTCTGAAGCAGGATTAAGGGTCTGACTTCTCAAAGAACTTATTCCTTAGAAAGGGCAATATGACATGTACACAGATACAAAGTAGAAAGGGGTAAGTGCACAATGGAAATAGAAAATGCTCTGCCAAATTTGTATATTTCACATAAAGTCATTTTGTTCATTTATAAACAACGTTTTTGAGAAATATCAATCAATCAATTGAACATTTATTAAGCACCTACTATGTACTAGGCACTGTGCTAAGTGCTAAGGAGACAAAAAGGAGCAAAAGATGGTCCCTGCCCTCAAGGAGTTTACAATCTAAACATCTGGATTGTTTAGCAATTCCCATATTATAGATCTGGTTAATTTGAAAAATAACCAGGTTTTTCACTTGACTAGATTTTAAATCATAGATTTAGAGCTAGAAGTGACCTTAGAGACCATTTAGTCCAATGCCCTCATTTTACAAATTTAAGAAATTGAGGTTTATTCCTCAATTGATACATGGTCAAAGGATATGAACAGGCAGTTTTCAAATGAAGAAATCAAAGCTATCTATAGGCATATGAAGAAGTGCTCTAAATCACTTTTGATTAGAGGAATCCAAATTAAAACAACTCTGAGATGCCACCTCACACCTATCAGATTAGCTAATATGATGAAAAAGGAAAATAATAAATGTTGGAAAGGATGTGGGTAAATTGGAACACTGATGCACTGTTGGTGGAGTTGTGAACTGATCCAGCCATTGTGGAGAGCAATTTGGAACTATGCCCAAAGGGCAACCAAATTGTGTATAACCTTTGATCCAGTTATACTACTACTAGGTTTGTACCCAAAGAGATCATAAAAAAGGAAAAAGACCTATATGTGCAAATATACATACATACACACACACACACACACACACACACACACACATATATATCAGCCCTTCTCATGGTGGCACAATATTAGAAATTGAGAGGATGCCTATCAATTGGGGAATGACTGAACAAGCGGTAGTATGTGAATGTAAGGGAATACTATTGTGCAATAAGAAATTATGAACAGGCAGATTTCAGAAACTGATATTGAACTTATACAAAGTGAAATGGGTAGAACCAGGAAAACACGGTACGTAGTATCAGCAACATCGTATGATGATCAACATTGATGACTCAACTCTTCTCAGCAACACAGTGATCTAAGACAAGTATAAAGGACTCATGAAGGAAAATGCTATCTGTATCTAGATAAAGAACTGGTGGACTCTGATGCAGATTGAAACATATTTTTTTCACTTACCTTATTCTCTTGCATTTTTTTTTAAATTTTGACCTGTTTCTTCTTTCACAACTGTGACTAATAAGGAATATTTTTTACATAATAGCACATGTATAAACTATATCAAACTACCTACCATTTTCAGAAGAGGGGAGGGGTGGAAGGGACAAAAATCTGGAACTCAAAATCTTGTAGAAATGAATGATAAAAATTTTCTTGACATGTAACTGGGGGAAAAATAAAATACTATTAAACTTAAAAAAAAAGAAACTGAGGCTTGAGGAAGTGTGAAGATTTGAACCCTGATCTCTGACTTCCAATCCAGTATTCCTTCTGCTATACCATTTTACCTCCATTTACATACTGTTTCCTCTCATGTGGTAATAGGCCTGTCGAATGAGTTATAAAAATAATAGACAGAGAGGAAAAGTGTAAAATGTCCTAGTATATATGGTTGCCTAATTGGCTAGTTGAGAATGCTTCTTCTGAAAATAAGAACAAATAAATGGGAATGGCTTTAACCTGTTGTTTGTTTCTCTTCTTAGCTGAAGTACAAAGTGAGATTGAAAGAATCTTTGAGTTGGCAAGATCCTTGCAACTGGTTGTCCTTGATGCAGATACTATCAACCACCCAGCACAACTTATAAAGACTTCCTTAGCACCAATTATTGTCCATGTTAAAGTTTCATCTCCAAAGGTAATTAGGTAATTTCTTTATCTAGCACAAAGCCTGGAGTCTGTAAACATATTTTTAAAATATTTTAATAACTGTATTTCAATATAATTGGTTTCCTTTGCAATCTAATGAATGTTATTTTATGCATTTAAAAACATTATTCTGAAAAGAGGTCTGTAGGTTTCACCAGACTGTTGGAGGAGAGAGAGTGATACACAAAAGTTTAAAAACTACTGATCTAGGAGAAAAGGAATTTTCTTTAGCAATAACCTCTTCCCAGAATTTCTTATGGGCAAAGATCTATTATTTCCCAAGATATAGTTAGTGATTATATATTGAAAACCCAAAATGTGTAAGTTTTAGGTACTTCGGGATATCAGTAAAACAATGATATCTATCTTAGATAAATAATCTATACCAAAATGTGGTAAGTGGATGAATAGATAGATGACAGATAGATAGATGGGTAGATAGATGGATGATGGATAAATAAATAAAATGTGTAGATCAAGATACACATATGCACATATGTACACAGCAGTTACCAAAAAGAGCCTGGAAAAAGTAGGTGGCTCCGAGATATTGCTGGCTCATTGTTCTGCTCTTCAAAAATCTTCCTGTGACCTACATTTACTCTGCAAATGGTAGAATACATAGTTAAATAAGTGAATCTGTGCCTCACAATTCTATAAAATCAAAGAAAATACAGTGTTTGACTATCTGTTCTAGAAAGGACCCAGAACTTCAAGTATACATTTTAGTAAAGTCTTTGAGGAACATAGTTGACCAGGATATTAGTGCATTGCCATATGTGCCATATATTTTGATGACAACTGAAATGTTAGCAGGAGCTAGGAGAATCTTAGAGTCAAAAATTTATATCTTTTGGATTGATATTCTTTCTCCTTAAAAAAAAAGATGGTACTATAAGAAAAATGAGACATTGTTTTGTGTTCTTGTATGAAACTTAGAAGTATAGATCATTAGACTTCTGGAAAGGGCTATTTGAGAGATAACTTCCATTAGGTATTTATTGATTGCCTGATGTGTTCCAACATGGCAGTTTAAATTGTACTGACCCAAGTCGGGAAATGACCAACAGCGAATGTTGTAAACCCTCTAATTACATTTGAGATTTTATTGTGCTCAGGTGAACCTAGCAAAACTGAGTTTTTAAAACCATTGCCTTATACAGGCTCTGCCCAATTATATGTACATGTTTAAATGTCCATCTCCGAGTGCAAACTATTATTTAGTTTAGGCGTGACATTGGCACTTTTGTGATTTGAACCTCTATTCAGTGTAAAAGGAAACAAAAATAAGAAGTTATGTCTTTTAAAAACAAATATAGTAAAATCTGCTCTAATTATTAAAAAGAATGCTAAATCATATGTGCCATTCTTCTAGAGTGAAAGAAAAATTTCACCTGATTTAAAAATGAAAAAATATGTCTATATATCAATCCTATATGGCATATGGATGCCTTTTTTTTGTTCCATCTCTTATTTGACTCCTCATTGGGTGAATCTCCATAGATAACATTTGCAAATTTCTAAAAGCTTCTTCCTAATCTTGATTCTTCCCATGTTACTACACCTTGCACACAACAGACCTTTAATGTCAACTAGCATTCTGTCTCTTGTTTAACATCCTCAGCTCATGGCTCAGGAGACCTAGCATATATCTACACACATTCTCTATCTCTAATACCACCTCCAAAGCCTAGTGGTTTCATCCATATGGCAATGAGCACCAAGTTGAAAGCTAATAATTATATTCCCACACTTCTCAGACTTCATGCCATTAATGAGATATGAGTTTGAATAGATAGAAAAGAAAATTCTGATTCTAATGTATGCATCTATTTTTAAAACATTTTTATGTTCTTACCTATAGTTCATATTGCAGTCATAGAAGTAGTTTTTCCACATGTGTACCATAAAAATGCAAATATTTTAACTCAAGGAAAAAAATGTGTCACTTTACTTAGCTGCCAAAGAATTGTAAAATTCTAATGAGACACATAGGAATCAGGGATAGCATTTACTATTAAAAAAAAAAAAGAAAAATGATTCCTTAGCCAAAGAGATCCAAGATTTTTCAATAGTGAACCATGTGGTCTAAAATCCATATGTGTGGAGGCTACATGATTTGGGTCTTCCACCCCTCCCCCACTAATTGCTTCAAGCCTATGAGCATAGTACCTAATGGCAACCAACTGACAAAAGTGATCATGGTGGGCAGGTGGTTAGGCTAGACAGGCTTTAGACAGAATTTGTCTGTGACTCCTAATCAGATAAACAATTTTCTTTTTAAAAATTCAAGTAGGTTGCATTTGACCACATTAGAGATCCAGGCTTTTGACCTTTATCCAGTCCAATTTCCCTTCCCAGCTAGCAAAAGTGGGATCCCATCCAAGATCTCTCAAAAAAAAATTGTGACTGCCTACAAACAAATAAGCAGTACTATTGGAATGAGTTGATCCATGTACACAGGATGCCCAATTTCCTAGTGTCATTTCATCAAGGTCCCAACTGGGACCTCTCTCTACCTCCAACACCACTTAATCCTTCTTAAGGGATGTCATCACCTTGCACACTTCATATTACCTGGGTCAAAATCTATTTGTCTTACCTAAATTTACACTCATAACATAGAGTTCCACTGGAGTGTTTCAATAATAATCAGAAATAAAAGAAAGAAACACTAAGCCCCTTGGGATGATTGCCTGGTATAAATATAACCATCAAAAATGTTGCACAATTGAAACAATCTAAAGTGCATATTGTGTGAGTGTGTGTTTGTTTCCCAGTTGCTCTTTCACCATTGCAAAGCACCCTCTAAAATGAAGGGGTGTCAGCAGTGAATATAAGTTTCAGAACAGATTAAGAATCAGATGCAATATAAACCAGAAGTCTCTCAAAGTAGAAAAGGTTGTACCTCATTTCTCATGTGTTATTTCATTTTCTGTCATATTTGGAATCAAAGCAACAAGATCTGATTCTGTTTTTATCTTTGACAAACTTCTCCATAATAACTCTAAGATTTATGTGTTTTTCTACCAGGTTTTGCAACGGCTGATTAAGTCTAGAGGAAAGTCCCAAAGTAAACACTTAAATGTCCAATTGGTGGCAGCTGATAAACTTGCACAATGCCCCCCAGTAAGTACAATTTTTTTCTTAATCCTGACTGGTGCATTTCATGCTGTCCACATTTGGGATGTTTTTCTGTAGACTAAATTGGTTTTTTAAAAATCTATTAGCGTGGTGGTAGCCATGATGGGCATTGACACAGGTTGATCACTTACTGGTTGGTGTATTTGTCTTCTCAGTGATATATAAGCATCTCTGTCTGTGGTAAATTAAGTATGGCACACACTAGGCTTGGAGTCATGTGGTATCCCCTCTTGATTTCCCTACCTCGAGTACTTTTGTTAACTTTTAAGGAAATTACTTGATTCCAGAAGGGAGATACTTGTAAGAAAAAGCAAAACCCAGCTGACTTTCTTTCAACTCTCCTGCCAAGAAATGTTGGCAGACGTTAAAGACTATAGAGGTAGGAAGCCAGAGTGCAGTAGAGCAGAGGGGAGCCCTATGGGTATCAGTGACATTGAATCAGAGCCTTGTGGAGCTAGAGCCTCATGGTCATAAGTTTGCCAGCAAAAACAACTGCTTTGGAAAGGGTTGAGCAAGTCAGGAAGGCCTAGCTTGGCCACATGCCATGTATTCTCAGCCCTGGCAAACCAGTGCCCACCTACATGTTTTCCAGTTTCTTTGTATGTCAGTTCCTTTAAGCTGCAAAAGAGAATGATAAACCTTCTATAAATACTCTTGGATGGCCATGCAGCTTTCACAGGAACACATACCTCATTGCCCTTGGTAATTCTATGCAACACTCCCTTCTCTTCCTTTCCCCAATCTTTCCCATTGTCATCTAAACCCAAGAAGAGTTCAGAAAATACCTGATTCAGATAAGTGGCATGAGAACCATTTTTTTAGTCAACTTTTCATCATGACTCTTGTACCAGCTATTAGTCCTCCAGACAAAGCTCATTATGTGGCAGATGCTGACCAGTTCTCCACTTGCCCCAGCTTTAATGGTATTTCCTCCCAACTCCTGCCCTCATGCTAGGAGAATCCAACATACATATTGATTCTCCTTCAAACATTCTACCCACTCAGTTCCTCAACTCCTCATGTCCTTTGAGCTACTCCTGTGCCCCACCTTGGTCACACACAAAGATAGTCACATACAAATGCATCACCTCCTTGTTCAAGAATTCTGAAATCCCCTTTTCCAACCATAATCTATTAACTTTTCACTTTCCCCTCAGACTTCCCTTATAAAACCCAACTCTTTATTTACATTGTGATCTCCAATCCCTTAACCTTTCAATTCTCTCCCAGACCATCTTCCTTGTGCTAGCCACTTTCCCCTCTTCTCCCCATCTTTACCCCTTGGTGAACCAATTCATCTCTACACTGTCCTCCTCTCTTGAATCCCTAGCCCCCTTATTGTATTGCTGATTATAACCAGCCATGCCTCTGCCTTGGATCACTCTCAACATTCTTTGCCTTTGCTCCTACACATGTGCTACTGAATGAAGATAGAGAAAATCATGCAACCCTTCCAACTGGGTCCACTACAAATTTATGTTGCACAGTCTTAATTGGGCCCTCACTGCTGCTAGGTATTTGTACTATACCTCCCTTATCAACTTGCCATCTCATTCTTCACAGTGGCTTTTCCAAACCTTTTCATCCTTCTGTAAACCTTCATGGCTTCCCCTCCCCCATCCTCTCATCTGAGGACCTTGCCTCATATTTTACAGAAAAAATTGAGGCCATTTGCTGTGAGCTCCCTCTCCTCCTCTCTGCTTTGTCTCCTGTCACTCAGATGCCTTCTGCCAACTGTCTCCTTCTGAAGTGGGTCTTGACTTCAAGATGCTTTTAATTTTGTAGGGGTGCCAAGACTTATACATAAAATAGGTAATATTCAGAAAAGCCCTAAATGAAACTTAATCAAATAAAGTATCAGAAATTCTAGAATTTCTCATTAAAGGGATGATTAGTAACATCTAGGAAAGGAAGCAATAATTACAAAGACCCAACATGGCTTCATCAAGAACAGGTTATGCCAGGCTCATCACATTTTCTTGTTAGACAGGGTTGCTAGACTGGTAGATCAGGGTGGTATTATAGATAAACCATGCCTATGCTTTGTCACAACATTTGATAAAGCCTGTTGTGTTTTTCTTATGAGGATGATGGATAGATTTAGGTTAAACAGTAATACAATTAGATAGTTTAAGAGTTTGTTGACTGATGTTCTAACTTGGAAGGTCTCTAGAGGAGTGCCTCCAGTATCTGTGCTTCACCTTATTATTGAAGTGCTATTATTTTTTAATCTTTTTCCCCCATGGAGTTGTGATTTTTTTGGTGTAAGGAACTCCTTTGTGATGAAACTCCTTCTACTAATGCAGATCACCAACTGATTTATAACTTAGAATCTTAAAGAATTGCCTCACTGTCACTGACAAATTAAATGACTTGCCCAGGATAAACAGCCAGTACATGTCCAAAGCAGGACCTAAACCTATGTCTTTCTAACTTTCCAGGCTTTCTATCTACTGTGCCATGTCATGTCACCTGTGGATAAAGGCATAGGTATTATGCTTATAAATTTACAGATGACACAAAGTTCAAAAGCCTAGCTAATACATGTCAGATTATGGTGTCAAAAATGGTCAAAAAATCTCAGATTTTTAAGAGTACTCAGAGCCATTTAATCCAAACCTACCTGAATGAGAATATCCCTTCTGCCTACCCAGCAAGTGATCATCTTGATTTTGCTTGATATCAGGATGCAAAATGAGACCAGGTCTTCTTAACCTTTTTAGGTCATTGGACCCCTTTGGCAGTTCCATGAAGCCTACAAACCTTTTCTCAGACTCATGTTTTTAAATGCGTAAAACAATGTATGTAGGATTTCAAGGGAAATGAATTATATTGCAATACAGTTATCAAAATACTTTTTTAAAAAAGTTTATGGATCACAGGTTTAGAATTCTTGCTCAGGGACATTGGACTGAATCTAAGAAGATGATGTTAAGTGAGCATAAGCTGCATTGAGAAGCATGGTTTGCACAGCTGGGGAGGCAAGAGTTACTGCAATCTACTCTAATCAAACAACTGGAAAATTTTGTTCAGTTCTAGGTGCCACCTTCATGGAAGGAAAAACGATAATCTGTAGAGCAGGCCAGCCTGCTCTCCAGTTTATCAACAGAACAAGCCAACCATGATTTAGAGGAAACTTGACACCATATGAGGATGGATTGAAAGATCTGAAATGTGGGTTTGGGTTAGGAGCTATGGTCACTGTCTTTAAGAAATTGAAGGGCTTTCATGTAGAAGAGATATTCTACTTGCTTTATAGGCTCCTAGCAGCCATAGCTGACAGAAGCAAGTTTAGGCTTAATGTATGGAAATACTTCCTATGAATTAGAATAGTCTAAAATTGGAATGGGCTACTTTAGGATGTAAAAGGTTCCCCTTCATTGGACAACCAGTATGGAATTTGTGGAGTGTATTGTAGAGAGGATTTTTGTTCAGATTACAAATTGGACCAGATGGAATTTGTGGTCCCTTCCATTTCCAATGTTGTTGGGTTTTTTTGTTGTTGTTGTTGTTGTTGTTGTTGTTCACAATCTATTATTTTATGTCAGGAACTCCCATTTTGAAAATCCTCTCCACTGATGTAGGTTGGCAACTCTTCATTTACTTACAGTGCTAATGTAATGCCCCCCACCCAGCTCTTAAGTAGCTTACATAGTGCTGGGGAAAATACAACAAGTAATCAGCTAAGTATACACCATTATAATGTGGGGGGTGAGGAGAACAACTAACAAATGAGACCAAGAAAGGCTTTTGGTTGGAGGCATTAAGAGTGGAAACTTCAAGGGAGGTAGGGGTTTTTAAAAACAAACAAACCCAAAGATGTGGACGTAGTGTGTGTCAGTCATGGAAGATAGCCTTTTGTGAAGACACAGAGGTGGAAGACAGAACTGAGCCACGGGTAATAGTCAGAGTTATAAAATATCTTCATCATGAGGTTTATATGATAGCTATAAACCAAAAGGTTTAGTCAACCCAATTAATTATAACCTATTTTTTTAGTTTCAGTTAACTTTTATATTTTCCAGTTTTTAACATTTTTATTTGAAGTTTTGAGTTCCAAATGCTATCCCTCCCCCCTCCCTGAGACAGTAAGCAATCAGATATAGGTTATACGTGTGCAGTTATGTAAAACAGTTTCATATTAGTAATTTTGTACAAGAAGACTTGATTAAAATAATAAAAGGAAAGAAAGAAAGTGAAAAATAGCATGCTTCGGTATGTATTCCATCAATATCAGTTCTTTCTCTAGAGGCAGATAGTATGTTTCATCATCAGGCCTTTGAGATTTTCTTCGGTCATTGTATTGCTGAGAATAGCTAAGTCATTCACAGTTCTTCATCAAACAATATTGCTGTTACTATGTACAATGTTTTCCTGGTTCTGTTGACTTCACTATGCATCAGTTCATGTAAGTCTTTTCAGGTTTTTCTGAAGTCATCCTGCTTGTCATTTCTTAAAGCACAATAATACTCCATTACAATCATATACCACAGTTTGTTCAGCCATTAACCAATTGATATGCATCTGCTTGATTTCCAATTCTTAGCAACCACAAAAAGAGCTACTAAAAATAGTTTTGTACAAATAGGTCTTTTTCCTCTTTTTTTTTTTTTNGCAACCACAAAAAGAGCTACTAAAAATAGTTTTGTACAAATAGGTCTTTTTCCTCTTTTTTGGATGTCTTTGAGATGTAGACCTAGCAGTGGTATTGCTGGATCAAAGGGTATACACAGTTTGGTTGCTTTTTGGGCATAGTTCCAAATTGCTCTCCAGAATGGTTGAATCAGTTCAGAACTCTACCAATGGTGCAATAATGTCTCAGTTTTCCCCACATCTTCTCTAACATATATCATTTTCCTTTTCTGTCATATTAGCCACTCTGATAAGTGTGAGATGGTAACTCAGAGTTGTTTTAATTTTCATTTCTCTGATCAATAGTGATTTAGAATATTTTTTCATATGACTACAGATAGCTTTGATTTCTT